TAGTAAGTAATCCTGCTCTTTATCCAGGGGGTGATGTTACCTCATTTCTTAAAGTTATCCTGAGACATAGCCTGGGTAAAGAGCAAGCCTTGCAGACTTGATATACCCAGCATAACGTAGGAATCACAAGAGGCCGACGGAAAGCTGTCTCTCTTAACCTCTCCCTCACCTTTCTCTCTCTCTCTGGCCCTAAAACCCTCCACACATGAGAAACATTACTTTTATGTAATATGAAATGTTTTATTAAGCACATAAAACCAACCATGGGAGTGTTCTCTTGTTACTACTGTTCACTCATCAGGGTGGGCCCCAGGTTTATTACTCTCTCTCTCTCCTGTCTCTCTTGTTCTTTTAAAAAAACGGTGTTTTTGAAACTAAACAGCAGACTTTATTTTACATCTATCTATCTATCTATCTATCTATCTATCTATCTATCTATCTATCTATCTATTATCTATCTATCTATCTATCTATCTATCTATTATCTATCTATCTATCTATCTATCTATCTATCTATCTATCTATCTATCTTTCTACCTCCTACCTACCTATCCATCCGTCCATCTATCCATCCAACTTTAGTTCTTGGCACAATATCATTATCAGTCCCAGTAAGGACCCTTCTGCTCTATTTCTATATTTCCATTCCCACTGCCATTTGTTTTCCCCCATAAACAACTACTTTAACAATTTTGATATGTATATTTGAGTACATACATATCCTTGTAAAATATTGCAGGTTGTTTTGTACATGTATGTATTCATTTTTAGCTTTTTAAGTTTGAAATGATTTCAAACTTATGGAAATATTGATATAATAAAAAGCCTTTCTATGTGTCCTTCACTCAGATTCAGTTGTTAATATTTTGCAATATTTGCTATCTCTTTTTGATATGTACATGAAATTTTTCTTAGGTATTTGAGAGTAAGTTGTAGACATTCCCAAATATTTCAGCATCTGTTTCCTAAGGTGAAAAGATAATCTCTTATATAACCATAGTAGAGTTGTCAAATTAGAAAATTTAACATTGATATACTTCTATCATTAACATACGATCATATTCAAGTTTTATCAGTTGTCCCAGAAATGTTTTTTATAACCTCCTTTCCTTCTCTTCCAATCCAGTTCTCATTGCATTTAGTTAAGTCTCTTTAGTCTTTAATTTGGAACAATTCCATGATCTTTCTTTGTTATTTGAGAGTGTGTATGTAATTTTTGTTTACCTGTTTGAAATAGTGTTATAGACATTGTTCCTTTTCTTAATTTTTCACTGTTTTTAAGATCCACCCATACTTATGTGTAGACATCTATCTTGTTTGCTGACTCCAAGTTCTGTTTAGTATTCCATAATATGCATCTGCCAAAGTTTACTTATCCATTCCCTAGTGACAGACACCTAGATTGTCTCTATCTCCTTGCTATCATAAATAATCCTGTCATGAACATCTTCGTGCATATTCTCTTTGGGAATATTTCTGGGATATATATCCAAGAATAGGATTTCTGGGTCATAATGTATCTGCCTGTTTAATCTGACTAAGCACTGCTGACTTGCTCTCTGGAACAGCTGCCCTGACCACATTACAAATGCCGTGAACTAAGATCCCAGTTTCTCTACATCACTGCCAACACTTAGTCCTAGATAACATTCCAGTGTTTGTCAGTGTGATGGTTTTAAAGTGGCCTCTTATTTATTCTTTCTGATCACTAATGAGTTTCACTTTTTTGCTTTCCAAACTCTTCATCAGTAGTTTCCTCAGGAGAGAAAAAAAAAAATCTTTTCTCTCTTATACTTCTGAATTTTTAAAAACTATGTACCCTATTGTGTATTTTTCAGCTGATGTCTAAAAATTTTTATTTTTTTCTAAGTAACTACAAAAGATAGAATTTCTGGAATACTGTGTATATTAGCATGTGAAAATAAAATTGTTATATATGTCTTTTAAAAATATCCAATGGAATCTGAATACCATAGCAATTTGGAAACTATCATATGCCTTTAAAAAATACACAAACCCATTCTTATTTTATAGTTAAAATCTTAATCATTTTTTCCCTTTAACTCAATATGTTTGCTTCTTCTCTCCCTCCCAGACTATTACCTTAATGGTATATTTTATATTTTCAAAATATTTAAACATTTTATGCTTAAAAGTATGTTTAATTATATAAAATATCTCCATATAAAAATATATCTATATAGCAATTACATTAAAAAATTTCCTATAATCATAAAGAATTTTTCCCCTGGATTATTTTTTCATTAAATAGCAATCATTATTAATGATTGATCAGAGGGGCATATCCATATTCCAGATTTAAAAAGTAATAAAATATAAAAGCAAATAAAATATAAAAGCAAAGTCTTTATAAGAAGCTGTATCTTTAATTAGATATATTTTTAAATTATTGCATTTTTCTTTGTATTCCTATAAAATAAGGAAGGATTTCAGCATCAGTTCAATTTCTTCATTTTGTTTCTGTAGATGATGAATGCTTTGTTAATATAAGTAAGTAGATGAGATGAAAGGAGTTTATTATAGAAATATCAATCAATTCATTGAACTACTTTTGAATTATTTGTCAAAACATAACCATGGTGATTTATCATGAAAATAATTTTTACAATCTATCAGCTGTTAATTTGATTATATCCTCCTATAAATTTGATGAAAGCAAGAAACTACCTGATATGTTATTCAATCATTAACACCATTCTCTTTCTCAAAGCTGCCACCAAATGTTTTTCATTTCTCTTTTCTTGATGCCCATTCATATTTTTATATTCCAAGGCTATGAACTATTATAAAATTGTGGATGGCTGAAAGATAAGTTTTTCTTTTGTAAGTGGGAGAAATTTAATTTCAAAAGAAGGAACTTGATTTTTTTAAAAGAATAGAGTACATAAGGAAGTTGAAGATCTCGAAAATGACTTTCTTAAAACCATCTGTGCCTGCCTACACCTATCTTAGCATGACTGTGGGATATTTAAGAGACTGCTGCTAAAGGGAAACCATATTTTAAAGCTATTATCATTTGACAAGAATTATAGTAGTACTCACACAGTAGCACCAACCTTTCAGAGAAATATAGAATATTAAGTTTATTGGATTAAGAATTTGAACAAAGGAGCCTTTTATGTAAAGTTGTAGCTGATTGTTTTGACAGAATATATGTCTAATTCAACTAATTGTAAATTCCACCATCATGTCCTTAGAAGAGCATTCAATTAGGTTGACTCCAATATGTTGATGTCAAGTGGGAAAATGAAATATTTGTGTTCTTGGATAGTTATTTGGTATTTTAACATGGGTTTCTGGACATTTTCATACACTTCTCTTCCTTTGCTTATGTTAGTTCCTCTGCCTGAAATACTTTTTACTCCTTTCTGCCCCCCATGTATGAACATATTATATGTCCTCATTATAGCTATTTTATATTATATTTATAAAGGCCAATTCATTCTATACATGTCTCAAATCTAATCCCATCTCTCCATCCAGTGCCCTAATTCATACCCACATCATTTTCCAATTGATAATGATCTTCCTTCTGATTCCCCTGGCTCCATTCTCTTCCCACTCCAATGTCTCCAGCACAAAATTATTATAATGACCTGTCTAAAATACAGATCAAGTTCTTATTCTTCTACTCAGAAATCATCAGCTGCTCATACAAATCTTCAATGTCTCTATACTGCCAAATGCATTAATATTTACTTTCATTTATTGTCTTCTCAATTACCTGTCCAATTTTTTTTTCTCTAGCGACTACCCTCATCTATTTTATACTCTTGTCACACAATCATTTATTTCCTTGAACACACATCATTTATTAGAATGTCACAATGGAGACATATTTTTTTTAGTAATATTCATCCTGAACTTTTGGCTACTTGTGATGAAAGGCTAAAATTTATTTATATGTAGTGGGTATATATCCTTTACAGAAAAATTTTGGTGTATTATTAAAAATATTTTTAAATCACATTGATGGTACTAAGCATGTCCATAGGACACCGAAATCAAACAAACAAACAAACAAACAAACAAAAGCTTTGAAAAATAAAGGGAGGTGTTAATAAAGAAAAACTTTATCTTCATAATCATTCAATATGTCAAGACTTTTCAAAATGTGTTTTGAAAACACATAAAAACAAATTGCCTATGTATTTAATTCTCTTTTATTTATATTAGTAAGAAAAAGGACTTTGTGTTTGGCCTGTAACCCAGGACTCGATGGATCAAAACCATCTTTTTATAATTCCTTTCTGATTCATAGTGAAGTAGTATGAACTCTAGCATCTTAAAAATCAGGTTCTGCTAAAAATTCCAACACTTACTGTGTGATCATTAATAGGTCTTGTATTTTTACTAAATTTGTTTTTCTCATCTATAAAGTGAGAATTAATACCTTATCTGTATCTGTTCAAGAAGAGATAACATTTGAGATTATATGATAAATGTAAAGAGATTTGGAGATATATTGTATCATTGATTTATTCCTTAGTCTCTCTAACTTTAAGCCTATATTTCCTTAGAGCAGCGGTTCTCAACCTGTGGGTCGCGACCCCTTTGGGGGTCGAATGACCCTTTCACAGGGGTCGCCTAAGACCATCCGAAAACACTTATATAATTACATATTGTTTTGTGATTAATCACTATGCTTTAATTATGTTCAATTTGTAACAATGAAAATACATCCTGCATATCAGATATTTACATTACGATTCATAACAGTAGCAAAATTACAGTTATGCAGTAGCAACAAAAATAATTTTAAGGTTGGGGGTCACCACAACATGAGGAACTGTATTAAAGGGTCACAGCATTAGGAAGGTTGAGAACCACTGCCTTAGAGGGGCTAGTCTACTCTTAAGGAAGGCATGTGTTAATAAAACTAATACATGATCAAATAAGAAAATAAAGGATGTATTGGGGTTTGTTTTATTTTTTCTTACTTCTTTTATGTTTCTTATGTTTCTTCCTTGTTAAAACAGTTTTGGTATGAACCATGATGGACTTGGAAATCCTTGTGGGACGAAAGGTCATGAAACAGCAAAACTTATGGCAGCTCACATTACTGCAAATACCAATCCTTTTTCCTGGTCTTCCTGCAGTCGAGACTATATCACCAGCTTTCTAGAGTAAGTAATCTCTGGAGAGTGATGATGAATTGCTCTAGAAGTAAACCATTGCTAGAAGCCTAATATGTAGTGCTTCAAACTTCGCATAATGAGTAACTTTTATAGGGCCCAGCGATATTTCAGGTGGTTCCGAAAGTACTTTAATATATCATTGTGGCAAATATTTTCCTTCATACTCAAATAGAACTTACAGAATAGATTAGAGGAACTGAAGCAAGGATTTAAATGGAGTTGATGATATGAGTGTTAGAAATGTTCACTAAATGGAAAGCAATGTCAGAAAAAATGTGGATTTACACCATTTAATAGAGCATAGGTCGAACTTTAATTCAGTGATTATACATTTCATTTTATTGGTGAAAGAAAACTGAGTTCTATAAGAATGCCTTAGTATCTAATAGTAATAAACAACAACAACAAAAAATCAAACACCCACAAAATAAAAATGAAAAACTGAAAACTTGTCTTTGAAAATTTATTTTTAAATATATTTTTATGGGTTTCAGAGAGGAAGAGAGAGGAAGAGATAGAAACATCAATGATGAGAGAGAATCATTGATCAGCTGTCTCCTGCATGACCCCTACTGGGATCAAAACGTGATCTCCTGGTTCATAGGTCGACGCTCAACCACTGAGCAACACTGGCCCGGCTTGAAAATTTATTAAGAAACACATCTTTCCTACAGTTTAGGACCTTCTTTCTTGGTCTTTTAATATGTATTTCAAGAGTTTGGTTACTTAACTGTGAAGAATATAAATTAGCTAATAGGACGGCAGGTGTTCTTCACATTTCGCCTGCACATCGGGGCTTCAGTATTGAACTTTGTAAACTAATAGTCTTAGGTCTCATTTTCTAACTTTGTGACCTTGGGCATGTTACTTCAGCTTTATAATCTTCAGATCCTCATTTCTTAAGTGAGTTTAGTTAATAATACATACAACATCAGGTTATTATGTATGTAATCATGTATAATGCTAAAATGTATTAAAACCACTTAAGAGACATTCATCAAGTGGTAAATATTATTTTAAATGATATCAAGGTTTTAAGCTCTATGGCTCTGTCATTACCTTCAATAATTTTGTGCCGTTTTTTTTTCCCTTGGGGAGAAGAGATTAAATACTCTGTGAAAAGGTGAGTCATACATAAAGCACAGGTGATTATTTAAATAGGATTTAAAAATTCTTTTTAAAAATTGTCCTTTCAGATTTCACATTAACATGATGATAGTGTAACATTTTAAAAAATTCAGATAGGTATGTAGGATAACCTACTTGTAAGTTCGTTTAAGTTTTGGTTCATATCTGGGAATGGTCTGATTATATTCTGAAAACTTATAAATACTTATTTTTAAAAAAAGCCTCAACAAGAGATTTAAAAATACCTAATACAGTGCTTTACTCAATCAAAGATTAAAGGATAAATGCTTAAAATGGGCTCTTTTGAATTAACTAATATAATAATGAAGTTGAAGGAATTCACTTAGAAGGTAGTGCTGCATAACCTAACAGTTTTTAATCTTAATAATAGACCATTATAACACTGTGTTTGCCTGGTGCCAAAACTGGGTAAAGGGCTATAAAGATAGACCGCAGAGAATTTGTTTGACATCTTTCGGCAGTTTTTGTTTTGTTTTGTTTTGTTTTAACACAAAGCACTTGCAATATCATTTTCCAAGATTTTTTTTAAATGAGATCATATTACCTAAATTTAAACATTGTTGAAAATCTGCTCTTCCCAGAAATCAAGCCAGATCTGCCATTTCTCCCTTGATTTGGCTCTTGTTTTTATAATGGAATCTTAGTAACTGTCACCAGAAAGACAAACTATATAACATGCTCAGTATTCCTGTGCATTTTCAAAGGCTTCCCTCCTCTTGTTCTTTTCAAGTACCATATATATATATATATATATATATATATATATATATATATATATATATATATTTTTTTTTTTTGCTCCTCTTTCCTGTTTCTATTGCACAGCCCTTTGCTAGACCATCTCTGTATGCATACTAAATACAAGGACCAGGTTTCATTTCTTGCCAGCACCTACCCAGTTGAAATAGTATTAAGGCTATTAAAATACTCCAAAAGGAAATCCCAAAATTGCTGATAAAATACAGTTAAGAAATCACCACTGGTTTGGTGAGAAATGTAAAATTCTTATTAATTGCAAGAAAGTGTCCCATTGAATTAATTAAAAGAATTAATATAAAGAGCAATATTTAAGCCTTATTGCCTCTTTGCATTTCGTATGTGTAAGCATGATTAGTATTGTCAGGGTTCTAATGGGCTTATTTATCCTGTATTTTATAAAAATATTTCTGTTGTGCATTCTCCTGGGGATAGATACTCACAAAATTAAAGCCATTTGTGAGAGACAGATGTGAAAGACAATGGGTAGCAATTTGGGGAAAGTTGGCTTCCCGCCCCCTCTCCCCCTCGCCTTTAATAATAAATTCAACAACCTTGATCATAATCTGACTAAGCAGTAAAGATTTTTAAAATACAAAGCCCTTTAAAAGGGTCAGTTCACTGGAGCACAAAGACATAATAGTAACTTTCTTGAATTTCTTTGTTCCTTTTTATTAATGCAATGGACTTAATTGCTTTAGCAGCTATGTGTGATATTTTTTAAAATCCAGTGATATTTTGATCAGGGATTGAGGTTACATTTATGTTTTATAGTTGGCTCAAAAAGACTCATAACATTTTATTTCAGTTTCTCCTCTCAAGAAAAAGAAATCTGTAAAGATGAATTGTTTAGGAACTGTAGCCCAGCCAACAAAATGCATACCTTTCTCTACTTAGTAACTGTATAGGCCAAAGATGGTGGATTTTAACAATGAGCTTTCTATGATTTATAGATTCACTATTCACTATGTTCAACTGAAAACCATTCCATGGCCTTTAAATGCCAATATAGTAAAAAGTCTCTCGTGTCAAACACTACGTGCTACTGATCAATCAGGAGATGGTGTTTACCAACTCCCAATATTTTTTTTCAGATTTCTTAAACTCGGTGATTCAATAAGTGGTTCATGAATCGCCCAGAAGCCGTCCTGATTAAGTAATAAAGAACCTATTTCCGTTAGAATGGACGTGTTATGCCAGCTTCTGATGTTTTCGCCGACGGCTTTGCAGGTAGTGTCCTTCCTATCTGCCTGCGGGACTTATTTATTTATTTATTGACTTAGAAAGTGGAGAAAGATGAACCTGGTATCATGGCTCACTCTCACTGATGACACTGGGCTAATTTACCAGGCAGTGGAAGGCAGCCAGAAGTCATTTAGTTCAGGTTTTTATCTTTTGTTTTTTCTTTTTCTTTTTTTCCCCCATATATTTTCCACCACTTAGTGGTAGTACAGAGTAATTTCATATAATTTTTTAAAATTCTGAGGCCTCTGTGAATCAACTTGCTCTATTTAAATTAAAGTCTGTTATATTGTTTGAACTGTCAAAGATCCATAGCAAAATATCCTACAGTATCCAGATTAAATAGAGATTATCCATTTTCACAGAAAGGATGGAAGCTGAAAAGGAAAGGCAACATTACGGTTGAAGGTGAGCTAGGAAGAAAGGTGAGTGTAGAGCTACAAGAGAAGTGACATAAGATGAACAGGATGACTAAGGCACTCATATTTCTTCTATAGTATTTACTTTGAAGGTCAATATCATTGATCTATTAGACAAAAAACAGTTTTATAGATGGGACCTCTTTTTTTACATGGAACCCATGGAACAGCTTAGAAAAACAGGTTTCTCCTTCCTTCCATGTTTCTGACACGTTTGGGGGACTTCACTCAAATCCATAAATATCATCGATAAGTTCTAATTACGTATGGAGAAAAAGAGAGCATAACTTAATAAACTGTTATTGATATTGTGTTTGCATATTGGAGGCTTCAAGTTTAGTTTTGTTCAAGCACCGCTCTCATCCAGAGGACAAGAGAGAAAGGTTTGACTTAAAGTAACTCATTTTAGGATGGAATGTATGGTTAGTTTTGTGAAGACTGATAGCACAGTTTATGAGAACGCAGTAGGTAAGAAACTTCACTTGTAGATGATACCAACTTAATTCATTTTTGCTTAATTTAGATATATGAGCACAATTCTGTGGAAAATAATACCAGATGGCATTATTATGTTAACTTTTTGTTGTTGTTGTTCAGAGACTTGTTAAGATATGTATAGAGTTATATAGAAAGATTTATTTTTTAGATTGACCCATTGTACTATAGACTGAAGGTCTATACTTTATCGTATAATTGTTGAAGTGAAAAATAAATCTACAATTACAATTAAGGGTATGTCCTTATGTGTTCTGGAAACGAAGCCAAGAGTGCATATTTTATGTAAGGGTCTGTAAATTTTAGTTGAAGACTCAACTCTGGCTCATGTTCCTATTTTCAAGGATAACTTTTGAGCTATGTAAATAAGATTTCTCTAAATTAGAAGTAGGATACATAAAATATGACTTTGCTATCATGCTGCGAGGATTTTTGGAAATGTAAATACACTTTGATTTACTAAGAATTTTGTAGTCAAGGAAAAAGCATATTCTCAAACTGATACAAATTTTTTTGGCCTTGTCTTAGAAGCATAAACAAAAGCAGAATCTGTGAATTCAATAGTTATCTATATTGCTGTATATTTTAACTAGGATCGGGCTTTTAGTTATGAAATATATGCTGCTAGGGAAATAACCACAATTCTACTTTTTATGTTTATTCTTTTGCTCTGGACACATGTATATTATACTTAACAATAGGAAGTTGCATTAGTATCTCAGATGGAAACTACTAACAGTATCCTTCATTTTTTTAATGATGAGTGAGGTTTATGTTTTCTGAGTGGAAAAATTCTCATATGTCACTAAAACACAAACTATGTTTAAAAGTGCTATTTGATGAGAAAATATTATATGTAATATTACCACTGTTATTATTTTGATAGTAGTAGCATAAATAATACTAGGTTCACCATCATAAGACTTGTATGGTTGAATTGATGAGCTAGAACCCTGGATTAAATAAAAATTACTCATAACTTCCATTTTGTTAAAAGGAAATAATTATAAAATATTTTAAAAAATCTCATCTGTAATATTTTTAAGAAAGAGAATATATTTGTCCCAGGAGACCTGTACAAAAATATTCATATCAGCATAATTTGTAATTTCCAGAAATTAGAAATAATTCAAATGCTCATTTGATATTTGTGGCACAGTCTTAAATGGAATGTCAAAGAACAATATGAATGGACAGGCTATAGTTATACACATCAATATAGATATATCCACTTTCCTAGTACTGAGCGAGTGAAAGAATAAAGTCACAAAGGAAAACCTACAATATGACTCCTATTGCACAGACTCCAAAATCAGGCAGATGAATTAACTACTAATAAAATGAAGGAAATTATTATTAAACAATCAGAATATTAGTTACTTCCTGAGAGACAATAGGGGTGTAATTGGGATATATTACTTGGTAATTTAAAAATAAAGGAAGAAAGAAAAGCACTTCCAGGGTTAATATAAATCTCTACTTGAAATTAACAGGAAAGTAGCAGACAAATGTTAGCAACCGTATGCAAAAATATTTTTGTCACTTAACCCTCAGTTAAGAATTAAAATATGAAAATGACCCCATCCCCCAAATACTTTAAGCAAGATTTTATTGTACAATATATACCAGATATGGTTACTAGGAGGAAACCATGTAGTATATAGAAACACTTTAAATCAGCCTTGCCCCATACTTGCTTTTCTGGAGCCAATAAAAATAGGTATGACACTAGACTTACAAACATTAGTGATTTGTACAAACATCACCAAATCCATCTCAAAAGGCCTTGTTGATGCCATGTTCCTAAATATGCATGTTCATTCTTAAGGATTTATATGATTTTTTGCTTATATTTCATTTTATACTAGAGGCCTAGTGCACGAAATTTGTGCATGGGGAGATGGCGGGGAGTCCCAAAGCCTGGTCTGCACGCTCTCCAATCCGGGACCCCTCGGGGGACATCCGACTTGCAATCCGGGACCACTGGCTCTTAACCACTTGCCTGCCTGCCTACCTGATCACCCCTAACTGCCTCTGCTTGCCAGTCTAATCACCCCCTAACTGGCCCCCTGCTGGCCTGGCCATCCCCTAACTGCCCCCCTGCCGGTCTGGCCACCCCCTAACTGCTTCCCTGCTGGCCTGATCACCCCTAACTGCCTCTGCCTTGGCCTCCGCCACCGTGGCTTGTCCAGAAGGAAGTCGGACGTCCAGATGATGTCCAGTTGACCCAGTCTAATTAGCCTATTACCCTTTTATTAGTATAGATGTTATTTTATTTTCTGTAAAACATACTGGAAAAGGAGAACAAGACTTGTGTAGATGTTTAATGAGACCACTTTAATACATAGACCACTTTAATACAAAGAACTGAAACAAAAAGCCAGTTTGGGATACACTGACTCAGAAGAATTTGGCCAGAGTGACCACAGTGCATGGCATTCTTCATTGTCTGGAGGCCCTTGCAGTGGTCTCTGCATTTGGTGTTTTTAAAGAACAGGAACTATGATTGGAAGACCATTAATACCCAAGAACAAGAACTTTAAAGAAATAATTATTGTCGCGTCCTCCTGGATTAAGTCAATTTCCAGTACACTATCAGGAAAGAATTTTTTCCTCAGCGTATCTATGCTTAAACTTTTGGGGTCCACATAATTCTTCCTCTAAATATTTTAGGTTAATTTTCTGTATTCCTAAAAGTAATTATGAATAAATTTTTAAATAGATTTTTAATTGGTGCCATGTAGGTGAATACATATTATATACTTAGGTGAATATATAATTATACTTTTTGTTTTACATTTTTACCTGTAGAACCCTGTACTTAAATACTTCAGTACTTAAATTTTCCCCATTGATTTATAGTAGTACTTAACTTGATAACTTATTTTTATTACATATTTAACTCCTTTCATTAAGATTTTTTTTAAAAATATATTTTATTGATTTTTTACAGAGAGGTAGGGAGAGGGATAGAGAGTTAGAAACATTGATGAGAGAGAAACATTGATCAGTTGCCTCCTGCACACCCCCTACTGGGGATGTGCCCGCAACCAAGGTACATGCTCTTGACTGGAATCAAACCTGGGACCCTTCAGTCCGCAGGCCGACGCTCTATCCACTGAGCCAAACCAGTTAGGGCTTTCATCAAGACTTTTATAATTTTGTTGCAGAGATGAAACTGATATTTTAAAGAAAATTAAGGAATTAAGCAGCTAATCCAATAATCTAATGACTATTGCCTGTTATCCAAATGGTACATCTTCTTTTATTATATTTTTCACATTGACCTTTTTATCATTAACCTTAATATAAAAATTTGAATTTACTAGTAGAATTACATTTGCCTAAAATTGGTATACTCATATCGATTAAAAATGTTTTATATTGTAAAATAAAAAGAACTTGCTGTTTTTAAAACTCATAAAAGATAATTATCTTACTGAGATACATGGCAATTTCTAAAAGTACAAAAAACAAGAAATAAAAAGCATTCTGTCTTGAAAACTGGGTAGCTGGGTGAAAAAAAAAGTTGTTCTCTGTTAGATAGATACCTTGAACAGTGACAAGTGAATTGATTGTAATAGCCAATAGTAAAATCCCTCCATATTAGTACCATATTTAATATTCCATCTAGATATTTTTATTGATTAAAAATTAATCAAGAAGGTCATAAATGAAAGGAAAAATGTGTAAAGAAAACAGTATTCTGTCCCTTGGATCCCCCCACACTACCAGCCTTGGATCTTTTAATCTATCACCTTATGAATAGTAAGTTTCAATTTTTAAAAGGTATTAATTTGCTGCAGTGCAAATATGTTTGTATATAGCAAATTAACTTTTACATTTTAAGAATGCGATAAAATTTTAAGCAAATATCAAACTCATTATTATGCATGGTTCTTTTTTACTTATCTATAAATGAAAATTTGTACTGTCTTAAATAATAGTTGAAGAACTTATACTTGTGAAATTATTTTCCTTTGGCAAAGCAGATGGAAAAGATTTGGGGGGAAAAAACACAAGTGCTGGCACAATTGACAGGAATGTTGGAAAAAATTTTTAAATGTTGGCATAGGAATTCTTTAAAAATTCTAACTTACATGTGAAATGAAAGTACAAAAGCATCTGTCCTATTTTATGCACACTGACTAAATAAAATGAACAATTATATTTAGCAAAGTATAAAGCTCTTTAAACTAAGGTATTCTGTCTGGTTTTTGGCAATCTTTATGTTATTTGTTCCACTGAATTAAAATATTATGTTTGAGTGCAAGCACACTTTGAAAAGCAGAAATTATATAGAGAGGAGAACATTCCCTTTCCTAACTCTGATGACCCTAAATGAAATATGAAATTTTTGAGAGACTAAACACTTGTAATATACTTGAGAGGAGAACTTTGGATCTTAGCCTCATCAGTCATTCAGCCCATTTATTATTGAAATATTTCAAGAACCTTTGGACATGTCATCTATTGTTCTGCCCAAGATGGAAATATATAGATTAAGTCTTTAAGGATTACAACCACATTTTTTTTTTATTTTCCACATTTTATGTTTTTAATTCTACTACCAGATGTGGTTATATTTTCACTGAAATCAAACAAGAAACTTACAGCAACATGAAATTCTGTTTTGATTCCTTCAGAAATTAGTTTAAATCTGTTTTAAGGCCAACATGACATTTTCAGATTGTTGTCTGAGATACTTTTATTATGTCTTGGTGCTGGAAAAAAGATTGGAACTCTTATTCAGGTTTCAGTAAAGTTATTTGCCATGCGATTATTTCTTGGTAGGAAGTATTGTTTTTCATGCATCAAGTTATTAAAACAAAGAGCTCAATACCTGGTTTCATAATTGTGATTGAAATGGTCCATCGTGTACCTAATTTTCTTTGATCCTTTATGTTGAACAGTTCAGGCCGTGGCAATTGCCTTAATAATGAGCCTCCCAAGCGTGAATTTGTTTACCCAACTGTGGCCCCAGGTCAGGTGTACGATGCGGATGAGCAATGTCGTTACCAGTATGGACCAGGATCCCGCCAATGTAAATTTGGGGTAAGAAGTCTCAATCCTTACGTTTCGTCGTTTCTATGTGATCTTTCATGACACAAATGTTAGGATGGAGTTTTGATGAATATAGTTTACCTTTGGTAACATTGTTAATGCAAATATTTCCTTTGATACTGCTCTTTTTCTGAAATTGGTATGATATCTATTTCTAAATGTTTGCATAATCCTAAATTAAACAATTTTCAAACGTCTTGAGAGATGCTGGTAGAATTTTTATAATTTCTATTGTATTTCTTCTTTAAGTCCTAAGTTTATGATGTCAACTGAGGTTTATCTTAAGAAATGGTATGGCTTTGAAACCTCTCCTTCACCCTCACCTTTTCTGGTACTCTAATAATTCTGTTAAGGGCATTTTTATATTGGCTAGGAGGAGCCTTTACTTTATATTTTCTAGTACTGCGTCATTTCAAGTTGCTTCAGTCCACTGCCCACATTCTGACACAACAACCATGTGGGGACAAGATGACGCTAACCCAAACAGAGAAACAAGGAAAATTGTTGCGGAAAAAAAGATATTATGGTTGACTCTCCATGACTGCCTGAAGAAGTCTGTGTCTAGCTCAGAAAAATGCATACAAAATTCTTCTTGAGTTTTACAGAGAAAGATTTCGGTGTCTACGATAGGGACATGTTTATAGTCGGTACACATTATAAGCATGTTTTTAAAAATGTATTTTTATTGATTTCAGAGAGGAAGGGAGAGGGAGAGAGAGCTAGAAACATTAATGATGAGAGAGAATCATTGATTGGCTGCCTCCTGTACCCCCCCCTCCCCCCCACCAAAGATCAAGCCCACAACTCAGGCATGTGCCCTGACCACGGAATCGAACCGTGATCTCCTGGTGCATAGGTCAATGCTCAACCACTGAGCCATGCTGGCTGGGCAAGCATTTTGAAAGAAAAAATAGAAATTTAAATAAGTTATCCAAAAATATTCAGGAGTGAGAAATGTTTAAAGACTTGATTCCTATTTTTATGCAAATAGTGTTTAAAATGCCTTTTAAAAAACATTAATAATAAAAAGAATTACGTTTTCACATAATTAAGATGAAACAATATATGCACTGTACTGTACCAATTATCCTCTAGGTACAGTACAAAGGAAAGTGATTTTTAAAGTCTCTCTTGGGTGAAAAGCCTATTATGATTCATGGACAGCTTTGACAGCACATTTTGTGCACTAGATTTAAAGATTGTGTGCAACAGTCTTGAGTAAAACATTGGCCTTTCTTGTCTCTCTCTGCTGTAGAGTTTTCTATTCTTATTTCTTTATGGTTTTAGTTTCTTTTTTTCTTGAGTTGCTTTTTCCCTTAGAAAACATCAGCCAAACTTTAATCCCAGTCTTTGTATATACTTGTAGTTTAGTAGGTTGAAATTCATTATTCTTATTTATGGTCTCTCTGTTCTATGTTAGCAAGTGAAATAGTTAATTTATATTTAGTTTTTCAATTGGAAATTGGGTTTTAACTCTACATATATATTCCTATATTAGATAATTTGTATTAGCAGTTGTACAGGATATATGGATGTACTTTTTCTTCAATGAAATAAAAAAAATTTGTCCTGATTAGCCTATTTCTATATATGTATATCTCATTTATTTCAGATTAGTTGATATGAAGTGAGATAAATAGTAATTGAGAAATTCTATATTTTCAGTTATGTTTCTTATATTCAGCTTTAGAGTCTTCTTCTCTATGCATTTATAGACTTTTGTAATAGATAGCAAATAAAATTGGAAAATGAAAAGATATTAACATTTACAATCTTAAATAAGTATTTGGAGATTGTAATGGCTATAAATGCAAAGAACAAAACTATAGCACAATATGCAGAGTTGTATAATATAGTAATCTATAAATGATATATAGTTTATGAATGATATTTATATAGTCTTTTTTCTGAGGTACTTCAGACTGCTTTGATTAAAATTGTAATTATTTTATAAAATTTTATAGATAACTAAAAATGCAGAATGTGATTTACCTACCCCAAGGTAAAAAATAAAAATGGGTCATATAGTAAATATGTTATCAAGATAGCAGGTGTATTTTATTTCAGGAGACAATTTTTATCAATTTTCATACACACAAAATAATAAATAAGGTTGGGAGAAACTTTTGGGAGAAACTTTTGGAGGTGACAGATCTTTATGGCCTAGTTCAGCCGTGGGCAATCTACGGCCTGTGGGCCGGATCTGTCCCGTTTGAAATGAATAAAACTATTGAAAAAAAAAGACCGTACCCTTTTATGTAATGATGTTTACTTTGAATTTATATTAGTTCACACAAACACTCCATCCATGCTTTTGTTCCGGCCCTCCGGTCCAGTTTAAGAACCCATTGTGGCCCTCGAGTCAAAAAGTTTGCCCATACGTGGCCTAGATTGTGGTGATGGTTTCATGGGTGTATTGTATACTTTCTCTCCCAATTTACCAAATTACATCCATTAAATATGTACAGTTTTTTGTATGTCAATCATATCTCAATGAAGTAGTTTTTAAAAGAGAAAAAAGTGCTCATCACAGTTAGATTTAAGACCTAGGACAAAACCAGAGAAATTTTATAGACAACATAGCTTTGTTTAATTTATGGGGAATTATTATTATCTATGACGATTGTTACTGTTTACATAAATTTAAGAGTTAGCACATAAATGCAAATAGTGGGTTGTTGTTACTTTAATGTAGAACTGAACCATGTTTTATTAATAGACTATGTATTCTGAAGCATAAATGGGAACATTTGATCTAATACATGGTTTCACAATGGAACAGGATAATTTTTGAAGGAATATTTTTCAATAGCAAGACTGCTTACCATTAGCTAATTGACCATCAGTAGATTTTATTTAGAGACCTTTTCCAGTGAATGGCAGCCAAGTTGTTGTAAACTTCAGACAGCAAAGGGGTATGACAAGCATGCAAAGTGCTTTTTATTTACCTGGCACCTGACAGACATTCAATCATGTTTACTTTCCTCTATGAATATCTGTTATCCATGGTACCATCTCTGTATAGCTGCTTGCTGGTAGCGTTTTAGGAGAATCTGAACCATCTGTACGTTTGGGAGCATACGAAGATGTTTTAAGGGTCACACTGATTCATCCTTTAATCTCAATGAAACACTTAGAAGTACATATAAGGGAAGTTTAAAGAAATTAAATTTGAGTATCCTGTAAAAAAGAAAGCTAAATGTTGGCCTCAAAACCATCTTCAGACTTCAGAACATTTATTATAGCTTGGTTGCTGGTTAACAAATTGTTCTCCTCTACCAAGAGCACTAAAAAACACAGTGGCCTTAACTATTACAGCTGGAAGGTTGTAGATTAGATAGTAGGAACAATTTCAAGTGATTAAAATTGGAATTTTGCACTGAGGGAGATTGTAAAATTACTTTGCTTGAAGATTGTAAGACGGTGTAACTTTCTACAGTGTGATCTGGTATGGATTTAGGGAATAAAAGACATGGACTTATTTTAGCACCTCAATATTCTTTTGGAGTCCGAATATGTATATTTATCAAACATATACTTGACAAGAAGTTGATTTAATTTATATTTTCCCTTAAAATTCAAGCCAAAAATCGTAGGTTCATAATCACTTGTATACTTAAAGCTCAGTAGTTTTCACTCTGGGTTTGCTTCTTAGAGGTATTTTTTTTTAACCATTTAATCATTTTTAACCCCTTCAAATTGATTTAGTTATTTATCCAAATTAGTTTTTAGTTTTTCTTTCACACACACACACACACACACACACACACACACACACACACACACTGCTCTTCTAAACTCTCTTGCACTTAAATTACCCACATAACAGGATTAACCTATTTAAAGCTGAAATAAGGGTACATTATTCTCTTTCTTCAGATGGCTACTAAACACCTGGAGCCAGGCCATGGGGTCACCATATGTTGGTTTTCAATTTTCTTTTGTGTGATGCAATGATAAGTAACCTTTCTAATCATTGATGCTCCTTCTGGACCTCTTCAGGGCTCTGCTCTCCCCCTTGGCCATCAAGGCCCTTTATTGCAAACAGCTGCTGAGAGATGTTACTGATAGGGTAATGAGGACAAAGAGAATGTTTCATATCCACAGCCAAGGACCCAAAATGGCATAGGGTTTAGGATTTCCAAGGGCAGAAAATTTGTATCACTTTTATGATCTGTACAGTTGTTTAAAACGTAAAAATAAAAAAAATCTAGCAATAAAGAATCTTCAGATTCTACTTTATGTCCTTAATGATATAATAAATATAAAATGTTTTTGCACTTTTATGATATTTCTCTCCTCCTTATGTTAATGGCTTATTTTAGTTTTCTCAAGTAAATAAAAGGTCCCCCCCCCCATTTTTTAGTATTATTTACAACTATAATTACGTGAAAAGGATGGAAATTTTAGAGAATATAATTCTAATTTCTTTTGTTTTGAAAGGGTCTTTGACTATAAAATAGTTCAATTATTCTATTTTGATCAAAGCAGCTCTAGTTCAGTTTTTTACAGAGTTATTTTCTGAATATCAGGTAATTCTGATATATTTAAAAGAGTAGCTTAGTTGTTTGGGGATATTTTGGACATTGATATTAGCCAGGCCTGATTCCGATCTAGATTTAATTAGGATTGAAGCAAGTTGCTAAATCTTTCTGAAACTATAAACTTTCTCACACTTTCTAAACAGATTTTCGTGATGATTAAATGAGATACAAATATAAATATGCCTACAACAGTAGTTGACAGTATGCCCTGATAAAGTGTTAGTTACTTTCATTTATTTTCCTGCCTGAAACATTGCTGCTATGGGGCATGAAGTATATCCTGGAGCTCCTCCAGTGAGGGGAGATTTGGTTTTATTTCATCATTGTTCAGCTCTGACTTTTAGAAGATATTTTTATACATTGACCTGAAATCGGCTCCTTCTTAGCTTTTATTTATATTTTCTTTTTTTCCAGTTTGATTGAGAAATAACAGACATATATCACTGTGTAAGTTTAAGGTGTATAGCATAATGGTTTGATTTACATATTTTGTGGAATGACTACTACAGTGGGTTTAGTTAACATCTGTCATTTTATATAGATACAATAAAAAGAAGTTATACTCTGAATCTAAGTCTTAATTTTTATGAACGTGGTCTCTGTGAGAGGCAGATACCCTCGAAGACCTCTCTCTCTAAGAAGGAAGCATCACAAGCCATAGGGTCAAGGCTACAAAGGAGCCAACTGCTCGGGATGCTGGGCACAAATGCCGGCAGAGATTTAAGTGTCCACATGTTTAATTAGACTGTAGATGCTGTTTGTTTAGTGGCTACTAAGTTCTATAGGTTATAAGTGGTCTCCTCTAGCTCCTTTTCCCCCCATAAACCCTCTTTTGTTCATAAATGATTTTGCAGAATGCTAGGTTTCTCACGGAATGCATTTATCACCTTTCAGCAGAAAGCAATAAAAATACACTAATCTGGAATGCCTGGTGAGAGGGGTTGGAGGAGCATGCTCGGAAGGACCCAAAGCGATTCCTTCAGTTTGCTTTACCCTATGGGGCATTTCCATTTTCTAGAAACTTTCAAGTTAATTCACTGTTACCGCTTTATTTCTGAATTGTGCTAACATGACATAAGTTCGTTTTAAATTTTTTTAAATTGAGATAAAATTGACATATACTATGTTAGTTTAAGGTATACAATATAATGATTCAATATTTGGATGTACTGTGATCATCACAATGTCTAGTTCACATCTATCATCATACATGCTTATAAATTTTTTTTTCTTGTGATATGTGATATAAGTTCTTAGAATTAAGTTTTGAGAGTTTAAAGAGTAGTTGGGGAATAATAACAATAGAAATAAATGTTATATATAAGTTTATCTTTGCATTCCAGATTAATATTTTTTATTGAAAAAAGATTTTTATACTCAGTGGTTCTAGTTTAAATTAAAAACTTGCAATATTATTAATGATGCTAGTTGATGATCATATATAAAGAGAAACTGAAACTTTTCAGTTTCTTCAAAGTAAACTTTTTTGGCTTTTATTTAAAACACTTTATTCGAATAGATGTTGAACAGCTTATTTTAAAATCTGATAGTGTGTGAACCAAATGAGGTATTTTATATTGCTGATATTAGAATAAGTGTTGTAATTTTCCCATAATGATGTAGGACAATGAAAAATCATAATAAAGAAGACAGCTCCAAACAACATCTGAAATATTTCAATTATAGAAATGCCTGTTATACAAGTAGCAGCACTTGTTCAAAACCAAATTTCCCTTTCACGAAGGTGGTGGACTACATTGATGAACTGCAAACAACATTGCTAGATTGTTCTTTAGGCAACTTTGAATTTTAGAAATTACTCCCTGCCCATTCCAATGGTTTCTATTTCCTTCTTAAAATGACCTTTATTTGAATATCGCAGTAGATCTAAGAAGTCAAATACCTAGCACCACTCTATTAGTAATTGGTAAGTTTGTTCTATTGTCTATACTTGAGAGTGTTAAGCATATATTCCCTTTCTAAATATTCATTCTTTCCCCCTACTCTTCCCTATTAATGAAATTTCTGCACATTATTTTTAAAAGATCTTAATCAATGTTAAAATCTAAGATATACTTCATCCACTAAAATGAGAGTTTTAAAGACAAACATTTACATGATTCTGCACAGTGGATAACCCACCTTCCATAAGAGCCTCCTCCAAAATCCTCACTTTGATGTGTCAACACCAGCAAGAAACAAACAATGCTGCGTGTTTGCGGGTGTATTTTATGGAAGAGTGGACATGATTGTAGTCTTTACTTCTGATCAATTTGCTTTTGCCTTCTTTCCTAGGAAGTGTGTAGAGAGCTCTGGTGTCTCAGCCAAAGCAACCGCTGTGTCACCAACAGTATTCCTGCAGCGGAGGGAACATTTTGTCAGACTGCTACTATTGAAAAGGGGGTAAGCTCAAATGATTTATTAGCTATTTGATAAATGTTTGGTGTCGCTATTCCACTGCTATTGTTAGGAAATCATGCATATTAATTAAAATGTACTTGAGAAAATAATACATTTCTAGTCTAATGAGTTGTCAAAACGTTATATCAATAATATTCATTGTTTAGAAAATTACAGTGAATAATATTTTCTGGGCCAGTTTCACCTTTCTGTAAGTATATGTGTGTGTTATATTTATATAGAAAATGTCTAATAACAATTCTACATAATAGAGCCTGCTTAGTCATATGTCTGTGTGGGTTTTTTTTTCTGGAAAATTATGTGATCCCAAAATATTTTATAACTATAGTTTAACTGGAGTCACTTTTAAATTGCAATCTGAGAGAAAGGGCTCATAGTAGGAGAATACTTAATTTATTGAGCATAGAAATTGGAACAAAGTAATTTTGGTTTCATCAGTATAGTTTTCAAAAATATTATTAGAAATTATTGAAACAGATAGGAATCATTTATACGCTATTCCTGAAGTTCTTTAAGAATTTCTACTCATGCAAATTCTAGAGTTTATGGCTATGGACTGAGTTCACAATAATAACTACTAGTGTCATCTGTTCTCAGTTCTGACTTCTTCCATGTTAGTTGGGCTAGTTTCAACAAAGATTACACTGGATTTCAGCGTGCAATCTGATGTTTAAATAAAAAGAATGAAAGCTTTTGGGCAGCTGTCACAGTTTATTAATCCTTGCTGACGGCTTCATTCAGGACCCATGACCTAGTGCCATGTTGATGGCTTTTCCATGCTGCGTTTGGAAATGTTGGTAAATTATGCTAAATGTATGAATTGATTGGGTCATTTTTAAAGGATTAAGGATCCTTTTTTGAGACTTTGTAAGTAGCCAATAAAAATACAAAGACCTTCGCACACTACCAAAAATTCCTTCTTCTTTTTTTTTTTCACTGTAGTAATAGAAAATATTAGGAAGCACATTCTTGAAACAACAGTCTAGGTTTATTTTGGAACTAACAATTCTTGTCAACGACAAGTAGCAATTTAAATCAATCTGTACTTAGAAGAAATATACAACTGTAAGGGGGGAAGTCACAGTGAGAATCTGTTTCTTTATTTGCCATTGATTATTATTCTTATAATCCAGTTCATGGGCCACAGTTTCTATTTGCTTGGAATAATACTGTCACTAGGCCTGATGGCTCTTTTTATTCAACTTTATTTCTTAACATACAGCATAAAAAATTCATTCTTTTAAATACCTCAGAGCTCTCCTAAAGCATTCTATAAATTATATAATCACTCCAAATGAGTAAATCACAAGTAGTGGCTATTTGAGAACACATAGTTCAACCCTACCAATCATTTACACAGTAAACACATGTTTAATATCTTATCATCTGCGCTTAATTGCAGGATCCTCAAATGTCATATCTTACAACTGTGTATATATGTGATAGGCATGACATATTTCTTGAAAATTGCAGATAATTTTGAGGAATATTTAGATGACACGCAATAATATTAAAGCTAATGTATTGAATTCAAATTTAGATAAACAAATAGAAGGGAATTATAATTCTTCTAAGTATAAATAAGAACGAGCACAGATAAAAAGTGAGTAAAATGGGAAAAATATATTTGATTTCTAAAGATTCACATTTTTAGTTTAGGTTTGTTGTCAGCTTTTGGATCCCTAGCTCCTTTTTTCAAATGAAGTCTACGTAATTCTGATATGTACATTTTAAAAGTGTCAATGATCTGGTTAAAAGAATCCCTTACCTGACTCCTTACCCTGTCAGCTTCTGATGTACTTCAACAGGACATATTGGACTTCATGAAAAACTATTTGAGAACCTTGTAAGTGTAGCAAAACTTGTGTACCAAGAGGTCGTTTATATTCCCAACATTAGAGTTTAGTTTGATAAAGTCAGTATGTTGGATTTTACCATCTAAAATTATTCTGCCAAACAAAAATCTTAACTGTTGTTCCAGGGATATGAAAGGTCAGTAGACAGCTTTAGGAATGGTGCTAATTTTTAAAATCAATGAATGAAAACAAACACATGTAGACTCCTAGAAAGAAAAAGGACAGCACTCTAGGAGAAGACCTTGAATATCTTCGTATCATTAACTTTGAATTTTTGAAGAGGTTTTTAAAGAACTAGATCCACCTACATTTTTAAGGAGAAAAAACACACACAAAGGACTAGACATTTGAGCTGAGCCGCTCTTTATTTTTCAGTAACTGCATTTGTCATATCTTTTTACAAATTTTGTTGTTGGTGATTTAAGTTATTTTTCTCCTTAAAATAAAAGTGTTTATTGTTGCCAAATTGCAGATTTTCCTTCTAGGGTTATATCTATCTGGAAATTAAACCAGAGCTCAGCATTTTGATTCAAATCAAAACAACCATGCAAAAAAAAGAGCTAGGGACAAAAATCAAAGTGGAATTTTCAGTTGGTCAGGTCAACTTTGTGTGGCCAGTCTGTGTTCTTGCCATCTAAAAATAGTTGGCATTGATAGCAGGCTGGAAGAGGTCAGTGGGAGAAAAAAGAACCTATGTAATACTTTCAACAATAAAGATTTTTTTTTAATTAAAAAAATAGTTGGCATTACCAATAATGATGATGGTGATACTGAGTATTTTTAAAGTACTTACACTGTGCCAGGCACATATTTGTTCTGTTTAATAGTGACAAAATCCTATGAGGTAGAAACTGTTTTATCTCCATTTTATAGATGAGGAAACTTAAACTTGAAAGCCTAAGATTACACAGCAATTTAATAGCAGGGCTGAGCTTCCAACCCAGTCTTTCTAATTCCAAAGTTGAAAACTGTGCCCCTCTATATTGCCTCTGATTTTACTTTACCTTTAGATAGGAAATTTTGTAAAGAAAAAAGCAAATTTTCATTGTCATGGGAATAAAGTGAGTCACTGAGTTTGAGATTGGTAGTCACAATGTATTATATCCTTTAATTCTAAGTGGGATTTTCACTTACCTGTGACAGTGTCTTATCTCAGGAATCACAATAGGAAGGCACTGTAGGCAGAACATTAGCTAAGAATATATGATTGTGTTACAACTGGCAAAATAATTAATTTCCATTTTAAAATGAGAGGTAACCTATTTCTACCTATTTCATAGAAATGTTGTGAGGATGAAATGAGATAATATCTCAGTGAACTTTTTATGGTTTTCTGGAGAAGGAAGGTAGTAGTATATATTACGAGAGCATCATCGTCACTTTTGATGATTATTTGCCAACCTTAGATGATTGTGGGGCAGAAAATTCTTTGTCAGATTATCTAAACTGGCAGTAGCCAGCATCAGAGAGTATAAGCATAAATTTGTGTGGCTTAGAAACATGAATGAAATATACACGACTTCTGGTTTTAACTCTGAATTTCAATACTACTCTCATCAGAAGAAACAAGAAAGAACCTACATCCTGTCTAGCCAGCAGGATAAAACCAAAGCTGCTCATAGTTTTTTGAATAATTTGTTTTAAATGGTGGGGGGAGAAGGATTGCTTAAGTGATAGCATAGACATATCCAGAGGACTGGATCCACAATGATCTTGTCAAACTCTGGCTGCAAAAGATATGGGATCCCTGCCCGAGGCGCAGTTCCACAAATGTTCCATGTAAGTATGGGAACTGTTCCATGCACATTTAGCAGATGGAGTAAGAAATATGGCCAAAAAATTAAAAACTGATCTTTGCGTGAGTCCTGGGGGGTCTGACATCGCTATTACAGCCATTGGATGTTTGCCTGAATAAGCCATTCAAGGATTGAATAAGAACCATATGGTCTGAATGGATGTGCTTAGGGACAGTAGCATTAACCGAAGGAGGAAATTTGATGAGCCCAGACAGTGCGCTAGTTGGTACTGTGTGTCCATGGGTCAAACTTTTACAAATAAATCAATGTAACTTTAACCCAAAAAAACTTTCTTTAGACATGGCATCAGCAATAGCACTTCGGACAGGCATCGGAGGGATGCCACATTTGATGAAATAGTAAGCAAAGATTTAGACTGTAAAAACTTTGGTAGCAGTATGGGCATTGTTATGGAACAAGATATTAATGATAATGAAAACCCAATCCTTGCAAACTCTGATTGTGACAACAAAGAAGGTTTAGAATACTTGGTTTATTTCCAAAAGATTGATTTGATGATTCTACAAGACTGAGTTAGAGATATAGCCCAGCATTTAGACTTACATATATATGACATCGGTTCCTAATATCTTTGTATGGGAAACATAGGGCTGGCTTAGACTAGGATTATTATAGACCCTTCTAAAGCACTGGCTATATAATAGGACATTTGCAGCCTTAGATCTTTAGAGTAGAATATAACATGTTTCAACCGGGTTTCAAACTGGCTCTTGGATTGCTTTAGAAATTTCAATAGCATGGGATGACAAGTTCTGATTTAGAATTTGGGCGGGAATAAGCTTCAGCATTCCTGCACCTGCAGAGTGAAAAGATAAGGCTTTTAATAGTGCTGTGCTCCAACTTTTAGCTTTTCTGACTTGGGAAGAACATTCTGTATTGAATCACCAATATCCCATACAGTTGTAACACTGTATGAAACGTATCCTCCTGTTAACTTCTGAAAGCGGTCTTTCAAATTAGTCCAGATTATTTTAAAATGTTAACACGTTAAGCGCCAAGCCTGTTTTGTCTTCCTTTCCATTTAGCCTGCAATATCTGGTTTCACCGATATGCTGGCAGCACCAGTAACTGACCTGTCTGGACTAAAAGTATAGTGGGCTCAACGTGTTAAAACTATTTTTGGATTTGGTAATCTAACTTTAGCTGCATTTTGTAAATTGATTATAGCATCCTGCATGGTTAATAATGAGCATAAATCTCCCATTAAATCTGGGATATTAAATTGTTGCCTTTTTTCATTTTTGGTACATAATACAAGATTGAAGATGTTTGTTATCTCAGTAACTCTTGAAATCTTAAATCTGCCAGA